ACACCTCTGTGGCTTCTGATTGGACGTATCATTTTTCTCACATGTGAAAAAACATCGTTCGCGATTCTGATTGGACGTATCATTTTTTTCACGTGTGAAAACCATAGTTCACTCCTCTGATTGGCTAGAACTCATTTGCGTATCAAAATTTACAACACAACTTTTTGGTGAGTATTTCTCAGTATGTATATAATAAAGAATATAACTTTATTGAAACCTTTTTTCCGAGGTAAAGAGATTTAGAGCTCCGAAATGAGCATTTTTTTAAAAAATTTTGGTCCGTATAGCAAGTTACGGACCGCAAATTGACCAATCGCATGGCGAAAACAGACTCGGCCATATAATAAGTACGAGTATGTTGTGAAAAGAGGCGCAAAAAAAAAAACATCCATCGTTAAAAGAAAAAAGAGGGACGATTCCAGTTACTGAAACTAGGTTTATAAGCGTAGTATCTCACAAATAAGGACCTCCACCACTAAACCCATGTTTTCACTGAAACCACTGAGTGCCAAATCTTTTTAGTCCATATTATCTAACGCTTCATAAAAGAGTCGACACCTATGGCACAAATCACCCGGATCCTAGTCTTGGCCTGTATAGCATTTCAGATGTTTTTTCCCTGCTGTTCTTAAAGTTAAATACGCCTACCAAAATTTCACGACCAAACGTTCTGCCTTGTCCCTACTTTCCAGACCTTCATTCTTTCTCTTTCGCTCGGTAAGAAACGAGAACTCTGACTAACCTTCAGTTAGCGCTGCTCACCAAATCTCAAAAGTTTCATTGGCGGAATTTTCATTTTCTCTTCTACGTTATTTGATATGCCGCAACAGTAATCTCTCATAGTACGTATTAATAGATAGTAAGCAGTGCTTCGTCAGTCTTCGAATAGGGCCTCCAATTGCCTTCTTGAGTGAGGAGAATAAAGGCAACTCTTCTGAAAAGTGGCTGAAGCCCGATCTTAAGGACTAGTCCATCTTGTGCCCTCGCGTCAAACTGGTTTTTTGAGTTCGAGCATCCGTATATTGTATATTGATTCAGTACCTAGCGCACGACTACTAGACCTTGGTTCGAAACTGTATGCCAGCAACCAGCGACACATGCTCAACAAAGATCTTACCAGATCCACGGCATACACTAACAGTCATACTCGAGTGCGCCGGCAAAATCGAGCAAGCGTAACTGACAAAGGCTCCACTAGCAGAATGTAGCAATGATTAAAACCACGAAAAATCAATTTTTTTTCGGGAGAACTCACCTGTAAAAGTAAATTGAAAGACTTTGAGGTCTCGAAATATGCGCCGCACAGTATCGTAGCTTTATCAACACTGACTTTCCACGGGGGTTTTCAAAGTTAATTTACCAATTTGTGAAATAAACGAAAAAAAAGGAATAAACATACCCGTATAACATTAAATTTCTTAAGATAAAGATATAATTTTACGTGTATATCGTTTCGGTATTCATGCTCTCATTTGAAATTGGCCCTGATATTTGAGCTACAGCTGGTTTTGGTTCCTCTTATCTAAGCAAAGTTTGTTATGGCAAACTTAACGTTTAAGCAGATGAGGCCAAACTTCGTTCAGTACTGTGAACCCAGATAAAAAATATTCTGCATAAAGAAATTATCGCTATAAAAAATTTGGACGTCTTTCTTTCTTTATCAAAAATCTCGGCGAAGGTTCACTTTCATCGGCCAGGTATATCTCCACCAGCATGGTCTATTTCAAATTTTTGAAGATCTTGTGCGGAAGGCTGGACGTTGCTGAAGGTTCCCACTTTAAGTGAGCAATAATTTCCTTTTTAAAATAATTTATAATAATAAATAGATAAATAAATAAGAGAGCCAGCACTTCTTGATGACAATTGAAAGGAAACTATGATGTTGTATCAAGCCTTTTTGGCTGAAAAGAAGTTCGAAAAATGCAGGGTGAAATAAGTCTATATCGCTAAGAACAAGGGAGAGAAAAAAATCCCACGCGAAATGCTCGAGTTCCATCACAGTTCCTAAACAGTGCGTTCACGTTCGTCTAAAATGTGTTGTATAAGGCCGGCATAAAGTCCTCTTAACGGATCCAGCCTTTAGGTCCAGCTTCTTTCAGTGAATGCAACATATCATTCTCTTGAACATGTTCACCATTTTGAATACCTTGTTGGGTGAGGCTGGATTTTGTTAGACATGTTAGATTGAGTTTTAATGATTGAATTTTATGGGCTCCTGACATCAATCAACACTTATTTGTTTTTGGCGTTTGAACATCTAATTGGCTGCGCGCACGCGTGATATTTCTTCGGTTGCATAGTGCTTAGTATTTTGACAACTGCTAATTACTTGGTAAGAGCGTCACGGTTGCCAACGGTCGCCACCCTAATAGACATCTTTAGCTTGTATGTTTTGTTTAAGCAATATAGAGAGGTCCCAGGTCTTTTCATAAATTATAAGTAGATATGCACGTGAATAAGACGACATTTGAAAGAAATAGTTCTCTAGAGTTTTATCACATGACCTGTATTGTGAAAATAAAGCATACAAGCTAAAGAGGTCTATAGATACCTTGAGATATGAGGAAAACGATGGCGGCGAAAATGTTGATTAAAAATTGAATTCACCTTCTTTTAATGATCATCGCGATTATTCAAACTCACTTACTTTGTGAAATGTAGGCGAAGTCTCCTGGAGTTGAATTCCTAAGAACCATATCCAAGTTCAAAAAGAGAAAGAAAATTTCGTCTTCTCTTGTTTACCTCCCCCGTAAAACGTGCAATTAGGCATTGCCTTTCGTACAGTGACGGCAAAGAAATGTACATTAGAAAGCCTGGTACACGTGCAAAGTTGTTGTTTTGCTTATTTTAAACCTCTTGCTTTTTAAGCCCCGTGTAAACGGACGCAGCATTGTTCGCCAACAACTGCCAATATTGTTGTATTTTGTTGCGTGTTGTTGGGAGTTGTTGCGCAAAGCTTGAAACCGGTCAAACTTTTAGCTACGTGCAAACGGACACAACACTGTTGGCTTACAACTCCTTTGCACGTAGCTGTAGACGTCCTCGTTGCCGTCGCCGTGGTCGGATCTTAAGTCCTTAATAAGAATTTCTTTAACTCACCTCTATTATACATCACTGTTACGCTATCACAACCTCTCCTCCTTCTCCACTAGCGAGAATAAAGCAGCCTTTCCCGTCCTCGATGATAACGTTACACAAATCTACCAACTTTTCAATGTTCAGCTCAATTTGTTGTTAGCTCTTTTAGTGCGGGGACCGTTTTTTGGAAAATAGATAGCCGATAAATATTTTTCAGTCGTCGAGGAAATACGTGCCGTGACAATGATTCTTTTATAGTAAACTTTCTTTTTCACCAACCAGGTGTGCAATCGTAGTTTTTGTAATATTTACAAATCGTCATATCAAGAAAGTCAGTTTCATTAATACGCGGTTTCTGACGTTATATTTTGCAACATGTTTGTCATATTTGACTCGATTAGACTTTTTGCAATTGTGTTATTTTTAGTTTTTATCCGTCAACTTGTTTAGAGAGTGGTTTGAAGGATTTGCTATAAATATTCCAGTCGTGAACTGAATTCGCTCTCAGTGTTCCAAGAAGATTTAGTAGGCGATGAATTTCTTAAAGCAAAAATAAGGCAAAGTGCGACAATGTATTCCAGAGTATCATTTTAAGTTACAGAAAATGCTGTCATAAAAAAGTGGGCGATAGTTTACTTAGGAAGAAGTATAGCTCAAGAAAATGGACTCAATATCAATTCAAGGAATAATCTTAGAAAATACTGTCTAATGATCATTTTTCTTCATTTTCTTACACTATAACGAGAATCGCTAAAAATGAACGGATTGGTGCGCTCGGAAGACAAATCAGCTGACAAATCACACAACTGGCACGGGGATAATCAATCGTGCAACAAAGTGTTGAATTTACTGCCCCTTTGAAATCTCCTTTAGGTAACTCCGTATGTCTTAATCGTGTATGTAATATAGAACAAAGTAGAAAACAGTGTACTTTTATAAGACAAAATGTTTCATTTTGTGCGCTTTCTTACGACTGCAATTTTCGTGACAGGACAACATGAAGCTTACGTGAGTTTTATGAGCCCGTAGGCAACACAGCTCACAGCAAATAAGGCGTCACGTCTTTCTCCAATGTTTTGTGCCTGTTGCCTTGGAGATGTAGACTTGTACTATTTAAGTGGCGCTTTTCAAACAGAAAGATATGGGACCGTGGAAGAAGTGAACATCACGTCTTGTAATGAAGTGCAGCGATTATAGTTCAAGTTTCAATCTTCTCACACTATAAAAATGATCACACTGAATTAATTGCAAATTATCAAAATTGCCCTGGCTTTGTAAAAAATATAATTTGCAAATCAAATCAAGAGAAAGTATACCGCTAGTCAAAATAATAACAATAGCAGTAAAAAATTATGATATTAAGAAGAAATTGTAATATAGAGTAATAGCAATATCTTAGCTTTTTCTACCAGCCTCTTATACAAAATTTTGAAGAAAAAAAAAATAGGATGTCCAATGGCGCATGGCGGCAAAGTAGGTTCGACAATTTCTGACCGAGCTGCTGTAAGTAAAGACCTGTGGAGTTTCCTCACGGGCGAAAGACAAACAGTTGACATTTAATATGAAAAAACAATAGAGTAATGCTTCTATTAATATTCTGACCACTCACGAAGCCTCCTGGCTGGTCGATATTGATTTATTTTTTAAGGGCCTTGATTTGATTGGCGGACACTGACAGAAATTAACAATCGCGCCAAAAAAGAGCGGGTGGCAGAAAACGAACCACTCACAACAGCTGTGTGTGTCCAAGTGACGATTCACTGGAATAATTACTCGACCGCAAAACGCAATCCCGTAAGGGAAAAAATACAGGACGCGACGAACTAAGAGAAGCGTCAAAAGGGATTCTTTTTGTAGCGTTGATGAATGGACGCTTTGTAAACGATAAACTTTCGAATGGTATTATGGAGTAATATGGCATGATGACAAGCTTGGAAAATGTGAAACCGCGTGACCTGTTTGGAGCAGTTGACTTGGATGGGAGCGGGTATATAGACAGAGACGAATTAGCCGCAGTTTGCGACTTAGACGCTCAGGATTTGGCGGAAGTCTTTGATAGGCTTGATGCGGACAAAGATGGACGAATCAGCATCGAAGAATTTTCGGAAAATTTTAAAAAGTTCAAGTCTGTAGTGAGCGGAGTGAAGAGGAAAAAATCTGAGCTGTCTTCGTGTTCCGATGGGGAATTTGAAGACCTTAAAGACAGGCTAGGACAACAGTTTAATCTACTTACTGGGTAAGCCATCTTATATCATGAAATAAATGATTTGTTCTACAAGTAGAACTACTAGCGAGAACTTAAAAAGTCAAGCGACACGTTCGCTTGATATCCAAGTTACGTGTTATTACAACAGATACTGAAATGTATATATACAGACAGACACCGGCAAAAACAAGGCCTGTTCACGCATGAAAAAGTTCTCTTACAACGCTCGTGTGATCGTGTAAGATCCGGTTAAAGTACCAAACTGTAATTATATCTCCAAAAATAATCGCTTGTGTTCGCATTCAGGCTAAGTCATTCAAAATATACTTAGTTCTAATTTTCCTGGTTGACGGTGTTAAGTGATTTCCGACCATTAACCATGCATCCACTTATAAGTTAAAAAGAGCAACTTAGATTTATCATGGAAATCTTCGGTTGATAACTGGGCAGGATTGCATTAAAGTGAGGTTCAGCTCCTTCTTTTGTGTATAAATTGTCCGCAAATGTTACAACTTCAAACGATGGAAGCATTAGGTTTGGAGCAATATTGCCAGTTTGGCCATTTGCGTACAAAACAAACTGAAACACTGGTGTTTTGGCTATGAGATTTTATCATCGGCGTTCATAATCTCGGAATCCTTTCTATAATTTGATGTTTTTAAGAGTTAAGTTCCGTGCTTATATGCTTCCAGTAAGCATCAAATGTTGGACATCTTCTTTTATAGTTTGTCAGCTGCTTGTCGAAGTGTACTAAAAGTTAACCTGTTTGAGGTATATTGGAGGTGGGAATTAAAAAGTCAGATATAGCGTTAGTGAAAGTTCACCAAATTTAGACGGGAATTTCCGATAGTACGTTCTCAAATATAGCACTGGTATATAGAGTCCATTCGCAAGTTGGTTCCAAGAATATGCTCTACAGCAGCATTTAGCTGTATAATTATTAACTTGATCTCTTAGTTTACGTCCTTCCGAAAGGAAGCAGTGATTGAGTTTCATTTTTCTGAATTCAGTGAAAAATTCTACCGTGAAGGCCAGTATTGCTTTCAAAAGAAGAGAGTAATCTAGCCAAAAAAGTGATGCTCAGATTTTATGAGGAAAATTTCCCGCTATAGAGAAATCAAGGAAAAAAGCTGAAAACCCGATTTGGGACACTACTGTATTCCACTGACACAAACATTACTCGCCTTTTACTTTTCGTTTCTTTTTTGCGAGCAAAGCGCTGCTCTGTATTTTAGGACTTAACTCAATTCTGTTTCCGTTGGCTTCTTAATTTGAAAAAGTAATTATTTGAAAGTTATTGAAGAGTTTTGAAAAAAATAACAAAAATCTTGGATTTAAATTTTGAGATTATTTTTAGCAATCACATTATCTCTTATGATAGTATTTATTATTCATACGTCGTTTCCACGGTAAAGTCAACATTATTCAAATGAGATTTGGAGTTTTTTCTACTGCATATTGCTGCAAATATCACTTTTTGTTTGCTTGTTTTTATTATACTATATTGCTCCCTCATTAATCCTTGTGAAGCCGAACGATTTTAACCAAACCCAAACTTATTTCGAAAGATTAAGATTTTTTTTTAAAATAGAAACAACCCACACTCACGTCTTTAGTAATTAAAACGGATGTTTTTCGAGTACGTTAGTAGCATAGAAACACATTTTGCAAAATTCAACATGACTCCAAAATCGCCAATATCCTCATGTTTTGAAGATTAAAAAATGACCTGTCTTCCTTAGCGCACAGAGATTCATCCCAATTTCTTGAATATTTCTTCAAAAAAAAGAAGTCGTTCCTATTTTGATATTTTAAATGCGTTAGTTTACTTAGTTTCTAAGAAGACGTTTCTTTTTTATAAGAATGCGGTGTTGAATTGAACAGCTAGGTGCAAATATGTCTGGATAGGAGGCCGATTTTAACCATTAGAGGGCGAAGGTTAGCAATGCAATGAACGATATAATTATTTAAGCAACTCTCCTTCGCCCCATGCAATATGAAGAATTCCTGATATATTTCACCTCTCGTTTCCTGGCGTCTCCCCCAAGTCATTAGGAGTATTAATTAGGAAACCTTTCTAACCTTTCTTACACCTCGAACAGTATATGCTGTAAATGGATCACGTTTGTTTTTAGTTGTTGAACACTACTTAATATTAGTAATTTATATGAAAACAAAATTCCTTATCTTCAAATTACGCATCATTAAACAGAGCTTGCTCCTTGTCAGTATCAAGCATATGGTATTTCTTTCGTTTCTGTTTTTTGGAAATGAATAGTTGAAGTGATACCCAAAAATATCCCGAGGGTCAAAAACCGAGAAACCCCCAATTTGTTTTAGGACAAAACTGAAAACAGCTTATAAGGGAACCACATGAAACTAATGCATTTAAGAGGTCTCATTTAATATAGGGGGTCAGGCCATAAGATTTCGTTGAACATCAACTAAATTCACCCTGTTTCCAGAATCGACCGCAGAAGCGAAATTTTTCGCGTGCTGTAAATAATTATGTGAAACAACTTATTAAAACCGTTGGCCCTGTGTACACTTTTGACTTTTTTATCCTTAAAGCAAATGAAAACCGACAAACGTGTCAGTCATGCCTTGGGAATGAGAACTTAAAATAATATACTTTAT